AGCTACATAACATGTGAAGTTTCCAATATAATATCCTAAGTATTATTGCTTTTCTGTCAATATATTTCAGTAATGGCCAATAAAGAAAGCATGGATAACATTGTACAATCTGCAAGAGTTCTTTCTCACCTATTTTGTAGATGTCATAGGAAATCTTTAGCTAAATTTTAAGGCAAAAATAACAAAATATGTCTTAACATTTTTATTACATATTCTGATACAGACCCAGGAGTAAGCTGAGACCACATCTAGTAAAAAAAAATCGATTACTACAATATTTACATTTAAAAATTTATATAAGTGGTGATTTATCACCACTTCTAGGATCTTCCATCTGCCAGTGATGCAATGAGGATAGTACACCAAGAAAAGACCTCTGCAATGAGAGCTATAACCTCCTCTGCTCAGATCCTTATGACAGCTCAGCCATTGCTTATCCAAGGTTAATCTTTTTTCTTTTTCTTCTTCTTTTTTTTTTTCTTACTCTTTTCCCTGATTGAAAAAGAATCACGTTCACCTCACCCAGACTATGGTGGAGTGAACTGCTGTTCTGTGACCAGAGACTAAGCCAGGAGCAGAGTCCTAAATAGAGTTTCTCCAGTATTATTTTGTCACCTCATACACTGCAATCCTGTTGTGATCTTTTATTCACTCAATAGCATCTTTAATCACATATGAAAGAGTGTAACCATAGTGAACCTTTTATTTATAAAGACACCTTTACTCTAAAGGGAAAGAGATAGGGATGTTGTTGAAATACTAATAAAAAGACATGTGCTTAATGCTTTTCAAATACTTGACTTTTTTCTTCTCTTTCTGTGTTTTTGTTTGGAAAAGCAAGTCATGATCCCCAAACTTTTTTAACTGCTTGATCTTGTAGTGTCAGGATCTTGTTAACAACTGAGTTGCTAGATCTAATGACACTAGCGTAACGGTTAGACACTGCCTGAAATATTTACCCATTAAGCATCAGCACTTGAGGCTTCAAACTGTGCAAATGAAAAATGTTGCAAATCAGAATCATACCAATTTTACTCATTTTGTATTCGTAGCTTTAAAAAATTATACAAAGCACATGGGAAAGCAGAATTATACTCATGACCTCTGTTGATTATCAGGAATGAAGCACTAGAGCAACTTTGAACAGTTTGAGTGCAGAAACAGTCATTGTTTTGCAAGCCAGCAAAAGTTAATCCTAGATACTTAAATATATGATATCTAAATATATTTGGATATTTGATATCCGAATTTATGTAACTGCCAGCAGATATAATTGCCATGTGAAGAACATTTCATCTTATACTTTAATCTCGTTAAGGATCTCCGTCATGAATGCCATATGGCATTTTTTCCATTTATTTCCACTATTTCCTTTCAATGGAAATTCTGAAAGCCAATCATATATTCTATATCTCGATTCTGTTGTCAGCTTTCAATGAGTTATGCACTACAGATTCCTCAATGGCGTACTTAATGTGCTTAAGGTGGTGCAGGAATGTCTCTGGGTCCCACAGTAACAGGTCAGTATAGATAAATCCCAACAATTTTCAGTGCTTTGGTAGAGCAAATTAAATTATAAACTAGGCTTCAGTTTTGATTGACACAAAAACCTTAGTAATAACTTAACTTCATCTGTGCCAATTTACTAGAGGAAGCTTAAGTTTCATGTTGAATATTATGTGTCCACAAAGTTGCATCCATTTAAAGGCAGATAGAACTTAGTCAACCAATCTTTAAAACCAAACCCACAAATTGCAAAGCATTAGACATCATGCAATTCCCTATTAAAAAAAAAAATAAATTAGTCTATTAAATGTTTGTTGATTAACTGTTAGAAGAAATGGATTTTGCAGTGTTTTGAGTTGTTTATTTGTCTGGACTACTGTACGTAAATTAATGCTTTTAGAAAAGTAATGTCTATTGGGAATAAATAAATAAATTATAAATCCTAACCAAAGAAAACTGTGTAATTGGAAAAAAGTTCTAATTACCTATAAAATGATCTTTCTAGTACGTTGGCCGGATTTCTTTATTCTAGTGAACATCAGATTCCTTAAAAAACACTTCATATTCCAGCACCTCAACTAGTTGTGTATATTAATCCTATAGAACAAGATCCATGTACAGTGAAATTATGAGACTAACGCTCAGATTTCTCAACACTCTTTCTCTGGTGCAGAATAAAAAAACTTTAAAGATGAACATCAGTGTCCTAATTTTACAAGTTGGAAGACAAAGAAATAAAAATATATATATATAGTGTCAGCAGCAAGCTAAAATACAGGCTGCATGGAAGTGAAATTGAAGTTTACTGTTTATTTAATCAAAGCAAGATGTCTTCCAGGGAGTTTAAAATATTTAGTACTGATGAAGGTGCTAGCAGAGCCTGACTGATAACAGTTCTACTATGACTACTACCTAAATAAATATCTTCTCTAAACTCTGGTTTAAGAATATATTTAATTGCAGTGTAGATTGACATTGTAATATCTCATCGTCACTAGTGATACACTTCATTCTCTTCAGATCAGTGTTTATAAGGATCACATTTATACACATCTATCAAGAGCTGAACAGGATTGTTCTCAGAAACCTTGATTCTCTAAATGGAAAAGGATTAATTTCTTTTCAACATTATTATTGTCTCCCTCCATAGTAGGATTAAATTGATATACCTGAAAAATGGGGGGTTTGCTGTTGGTTTAGGTTTCTGGTTTAGCGTGCTCAAACCAGGAGAGAAATCCTACACACTGAGAATGCCGAATCGCACAGTATCATTTAAAAAAAAACATTCCTCCGATAACTGTTCCACTTTTTGTGTGGCTTATAGCGTGCTGAAATCTGTAAGTGGATTGCCTAATAAAGGTATGGGATGGAAGAGTAACATCCCACAGGGAAGTGCCTGCCCTGTTTCCTGCATCATTTCAGATTAACCCTAGCCAATACCTTCAGAACAGACACCCGAGAACAGTACTGCCTTGGCCAGGAAAAGGACTAAATGAGCTTGCAGATCTCTACTGCATCTAACTTCTAGGATTTTATAGCAAATGAACCCACTGTCAATGAGGGCTCAGCACCACCAGAGCTCAGGTTGGACTGAAGCAAATGAGATATGGTTTGCCTGTACCTTTTTGTAAACAGCAGCCTGCATTTCCAGATCTTGGCTTATCTGAATGCAACCAAAAAGTATGTGTCTAATGCCTACACCTGCAATAATACTGTGCACTAAATGGACTGCCAGAGAAAAGGAAACCAGGGAGATACTACTTCAGTAACACTATTCCTTACGTACTAAAAAAGGCACCAGAGTGAAGCAAGCATTCAGAGATGCCCCTAAAGGAATCACAGCTGAGGAACTCTGACCTGGGCTGCAAGCCTACCCTGAGGGATGGGGACACACACACACCCCTCCACACCCAGCTCAGCTCTTTCACTGGCAGGATATGCTCTACATGTGAACGACTGGGAATTGTATGGCTATGCTGATGTGCCACACAGGGGAAAGTAATTTAAATTCCAAACTATCTTATCTAACTAAACAACGCGGGGAGAGATTTTTTTTTTTTTTTTTCAAAATAAGGGCAATAATTTGTGTGTGGCTTAATTTCTGATTTGATGAGCAGCAATGTTTACTGACAAAAAGCTAGCAGAGACAGGATGACAGATTGGGATTCCTATTTCATGAATGCCATCAACAAATGAGCTGGCTAAAATCGAGTTTCAAAAACCTTCAGTGGTGCAGGCCGGAACAATCTGCCTTGAATTTTTGAAGTTTAAATATCTCCTCCTAGAGTCAGGTCCACTGTTTCATTGTAACATTGAAATCACAGAAGTGTAGATAAAATAAGGTTGAAATGAAGACTCAGAAGGATCAGGCTAGGAAAAGAACTGTTATTTTTATCTTCTGGTCTTTCAAATGCTAGGAACTAAGTTTTCCTTTCAGCCCATTCTTTCCTAGCTGGGAAATACAATAAAATATTGAATGGAGTCTATTTTCACTCTGGAGAATGGGAAAGAGGAACAGATTCTTTCTACATTCACAATATCAAATCAACAAACCAATAAGCAAAACCAGTTATCTTTTGAAGGCTAGTCTATTGTATGTACATAATGACCTTCTGAGGACTTCTCTCCTATCAGAGAAGCTTGGCAATTTGCATCAGAGTTGTCAGTTGATGAATACTGAATAGGTATGCATGGAAAAATACCAGAAAAGGGTTCTTTCTTCTCTTACTCATAGAGCTGGAAAAGAAACCAAATCGAATGAGTGGTCAGGTAATTACAGAGCCTTTGGAAAGTACATGGACAGCTACACAGAAAGTACATGGGCATAGCTGCATCTTTTTCTCTCCTTCTTCCCTTTTCCATCTTTAAAAAAGACTCCTTTTAAAGAAAAGGTCTTGTCTTTTTCCTTCATTTAAACTTCTCTACTTCCCTCCCTTTTGTTGCCACACCATTCCTAAATGGTTACTTTGTTCCTGAAAAAGCAAGCACAGAAGAGCTTCCAGAAGAAAAAAAAAAAAATTTAAAAAAATTCCTATTTTCAGATCGGAAATGTCCTCACCATATAACATAATAATAAAAATACAGTACTGTCCATGGGTAGTTACAAGGTTCATCCATGTAGTTTCATGGGTAGTTGCAATTTCATCCCCTGAAGAGATCCTACAGCCAGTTGAAATGCTATGAGAACCTGAGCCCAATGGAAATGTCACTGTTGCAATGACCATTAGTACCTGAAGTCTGCCATGTAATACACTGCTGCTGTGACTTCTGTCTCCTTCATTTCCCCAGCTTACTTCCCACTTCTCTTAAAATGACCTTTTGTCAAAATAATATAATTATTTTCTGTCATGCTAGTTCTTTTCCCCAAATTACTCCATTTCTGCATGCTATATAATTGAAAATAAAAAATTACAACACCAGGTACTCCCTAAATTGACATGGATTTCTGTTTTGCATATATCAGAAAACTAAAAGAAAATGAGAGATTTACTTACCTGGCTGAATAATTTCTATTACCTTTTCCCAAATTCCATCTGGGTAAGTTACAATGGAGCAAAAGTAAAGACCAACATCCTCCAAAGTGCTCTTGATGAAGGATAAGGACTTATCTTCCTTGGAAGCATTTTCAAAATAAATTCTTCCATTGTATTTGTCTTCGATATGTATGCCATACATTGGATGCAAGACAGCTATATTTTCTTTATGAGTTACATTAAATTTCATCCAGGATGTCTGGATTATTGTGGCTTTTTTTGGATATATGCATTCCAGTTTCACCCTTTCAGTAAGTTTTACAGTTGAATCCACAAACCTTCCTTCCACGTTGGCTAAAGCACAGACAGAAATTCAGTTTCAGAATTAACATAATTGAAAATTGAATTTATAGAAAAACTCAGAAACAACTTTGGCAGCACTACAAGCAAAACACTGAAGAAAAAGTTCACTAAAAACAAAACCCAAACTGTAGAAATTATTACTTCTAACTTGTGAGTATCATTGAACAGTTAAAATTTGCCTGAACCACACAGTAACACACTTGTGAATTGCGATCATATCTGTCATGATGTGATTAAATAAAAGAGAGATGTTAGCTAGGAATAAGAAAGCAACCTTACTTCCACAAAGCTGGAGAACAACAATAAGGAGAGCTGCGTGGTCCATCTCAAAGAACACTGGAGTCAGTGACTGCAGTGCAACATGGTTTTATTCAATCTCTGCACACCACGTACCCTTCTTACAGGATGTTTTTACATTTGATATATGAAAAACATCATCTGCTTTTTACTTTCACATTCTAAGAAACACCGTTTGAGGTCTTGGTGCAGTTGCATCAGAAAGAGTCTAAATTCCTGTCAAAGTCCACCTCAGAGTTTTCATTACTAGTGACTTTCTAGCAATATCCATGAATACTATGATAATTGATGAAGCAGGGATCTTTAGGTTTCATCAGCAGAAGCAAACAGAATTCTTCCATGCCATGTATCCAAAAGCAACAGAATTTCTCCATTTTCTGACACTGCAGTTCAACATTTATCTATTATTCAGGAAGTATAAAATCTGAAGAGAAGATAAAACAGTTCTTATATATTAGAGGTCATAATTCTGTAACTAGTTATAAAAGTAATGTCTTAAGGTCTGAGAATTTATTTCTGATAACATGTCATGAGATAGTATTTTAAGATCAGAATTATGCAGCTTGAAAACTGTTGTTCAAAGGTGTAAGGATCCTGGGTATTCATAACTCATGTTGGAATTTGTCAAAACAAGCCACACTTACATTTTTTATAGATTTTTCTCAGGACAGCTGCAAGCATTTTTGTACCTCAGCAGACCATAGTTTTATGGAGCTGCTTAAAATTGGAACAATATGATTGATTTGAAGTCAAAACTAAGCTTGAATCAACTGGTTAAAATTCTCAAATGAAAAAACAAATGTAACTTGAACTAAAGCTGATAACAGAAATTAATATTTCAGGTGAGTAATAGCCTGAATACGCTTGAGCAGGACTTAGCATTAGATCTGTTTAAAACACCTTCCGCAAGGCAACAACTTGTCTGGAAACCAAAATCTGTATATATTTATCTGTATTAAGCTAGGCATGTTTTAGGATTATACAACATGTTTGCAGTGACTCCATTTTGCCACTTCCTAGTTAGATCTGTAATTCTCCATTGTTGCGGTTGCACTTATTACTACTCTACCTTGTCAATAAAAACACAATCCACCAAATGATGAAGCGATAAAAAAATTGTACTCTATACCACATTTTAGCTCAAAAAGGATGTACTACCTGAATGAGAGCCTGTATTTACTCTTAGGAAACAGTAAAAGGTAATAGTTATATAAATATATTAATAATAATGTGTATTTGTTAAAATTTAGAAAAAATAAAATTAGAAAGATTACTTTCCACAGTCCTTTAAGCTGACATGATTCTTGTGTGTCACCTAGAACAATTTTCACAGAAGATAAAAGTATTTTATTAATTTTCTTGTTGTGGAGGGCCTTTCCTTGGAAGGGAAAAAAATCTGAGATTCACTGTGAGAAGGCAATAAACCTTTTTTTTTTTTTCTTTCCTCGTGATTTTTCATTTTTACAAGTGACTTCCTATATTTTCCTGTCTGAGAAATCGTGTTCACAGCTGTAGGTAAGTGCATTCCTTGTAGGTAATGTATTCCCCCTCAACAGGTATTTTTTTGTTTTATGAGGAAGTTGTATTCTTTGACTTCAGCAGATATGTTACTGACAGATCAAAAGTTCCTTGAAAAATATTATATGCAAAATCTTTTCCTAGAAACTTAAGCTTAGCCTTCCAGATGGTATTTAACAAAAATGCTTCCTCATAAAAATTTCTGATGATCTTGTCTCTTCATTTGTGTATTGTTTTTATTTCAATGGCTTCAATATTCTGAGAATTTCCTCAAATACTGGAACTTCACAGCAGCAGAAGCTTTGAGGACTAATGAAGTTTTACAAGATGACCAGCTTCTTTTAAGCAAGTTCTTGTTTTATAAGAATAGTACTTACTTACATTTTAATTGAGCAACTGAAATTGTCCTGGCCAAACCAAAATCTGGATTCAAAACATACACCGAGAGAGTCAGTAGTCCATCTGATGCTGAGTGTAAAACTCGAAATAGAAGGGAATTGAGTTGGAGACTGAGTCGTGTTTTATTTGCATTACAAAGTTATGTTTTCAAACAGATCAAAAGATTAACTTACATTTAGCTTGTCTCAGGAAACAGAAGTATTACTGATAAGAAAAGCGGGAAATGGGAAGCTTCAGAAACTAAACTGCAGATTTTGTGTTGGAAAAGAGAGGATCTTGTGAGTCTAAGGGGTCCAGTTCCTGGATGCTGTGCGGCATCGTGGCCTTTAAACCCACCACACAGGATCTAGGTGGTTCCCACAATTACATCTTTAACCTCAGTGGCTAGCTGTTCTCAAATTACAGTTGCAAAAGAGGCAAAAAGACAAAGTATCTCTCTAGCTTGAAATATTATTCTTTATGGCCTACTACGTATGTATATAGTAGTTTACAGATGAGTGGTGTTCCACAAAATCTAAAGTGGAATGAAAAAGATAAACATACGTTAATTTTTTTACTGTTATTATTACAAGTGAAACTTTTTACACATCCGTTTTCTTTAATTAAAGCTAAGATAAAGTACTCAGGAAGTCTCCAAATTGAAGACAAATTCCCTTAAATGAAAATTATTCTTCACTCATCTGTTTATATATATATAAATTACAATTTTATTGCTCTGAATTTCATGCTCATTTCTCTCCATCTGGTATTGAAAGAAAAACAGAAGGTAAGAAGTTAATGTCCAACCCCACATGGTGACTAAGTATCGATAATATAATGTTAACGTCTAAAGACATTTATTGGCTGTACAACGGACAGAGTTACTACAAATGTCAGGGCTTCTTGGTCAGCTAGTCCCAGGAACAGGGACCCTTGTCATACCTGCTGAAAAAAGCAGCCTGTAACCAGAGCATTACTGGGTCTCCCTCTAAAGGCTGCAACACAAGTCCTCTCGAGACACCAGTACGAGTCCCCTCGAGACACCAGTATGAGTTCCCTCAAGACACCTGGGCAACGCACCTGCAAGTCACGAATCAGAAAGCTGTAGGCACTGTGAAAGTTGACTCTACTGGTACAATCTGGGAGCAGGCTTACACTTAAAGCATTATTTTTACAGAAGATGTAATCTATAAAAAGAGAAGTCCACACCATCTCCACCCTACCCTCCTGGGCAGTGGAGGTATCAGAGCAGGGAGTGTAAGGGAAGGTCCATCGTGCAGCCCCCTCCCTTCCAACCTCTCCCGGTACCTCCCTTACCTCCTACCTCTGGTGGTCCCTAACCCCCCAGCACTGAAAGACTGCAAAATCCACACATCTCTGATCATCTGTGGGTAAGAGACTCACAGCAGCAGCAGCAGCAGCAGCAGATCTCATGGTCGGTCACCCCATCACTTGAGCAGTTCCTTGGGCTCTGCCTCTCTGGTTCTCTGCTCACCGTTCCCCACAGCCTGGCTCTTCTTTCCCAGTAATCCCACTTTCTCTCTATCCTTTGAACCCCAAAGCAAAAGAAGGGAAGGCTCACAAACAAGCCATATTTAACTAATTGTTGGCTAAATGCCAATTACAGTTTGACAACAAAAGCAGCACGGTGGAATTTTCCAGCTGAATGTACAACTGTAGGATGTGGTTTAAAAGGAAAAAAAAAAACCCTAAAAAGAAAAAGAGCAAAAAAGATTGTGCAGCAAACACAGTGGAGATCTACAGCTTGGATTTTAATCATGACTTGAACATACATCTTCGGTGACCCTGAGTGAGTCATTTCATTTCCTGGTGCATTAATTTCCCAAACTCTAATACATAGATAATATGTAATGAATGCTGCTGTTTCAAAGCATGTCACAATAATCTCTGTAATGAGGTTTTTTAATGGAAATTGCTATAAAACTGTGAAGAATAAGACACACAACAGGGCCAGCACAATATGTTAATACCCTTTTTAATGATTCATTAGTATTTAAGATTTAATAGATAGGCCTGTAGCAATAGTGCAGAAAGAGTGGCAAATATACTTGCAGACTGCTGCTACCACCAGAAAAAAAGGCCTTGACTGTGGCAGTGTAGTGAGGCAGGAGACAGCTAAAAATGAGACCTCTCCAGGTATCACTTCTTTACCTACAAACATGACCAACTGGAAAACGATCAGGACAAAAAGCTCCTTTTGTTTCAATGAATTGTCAGTGAAGATAATGAAGTAAATGGGCTGGGAGGAGGGAGGTTTTAGCTGTTTTGCACTTGGTGTGAGCATCCCTGTAGATTAGCTCTAACCCTGTAGAAGCCAGGTTAACCAGCCCAGAACAACAGTTCAGCAACAAGTGATATATATCAAATCCCTGTTTCTCTATGGATGAGGGTGCCCCTCTGCCAGTGCGCTACCATCAAGGAAAATGCTTTTTCCATTCACCATTCTATGTTTCTTTAAGCAGGATGGCTGAGTGGTACAGCCGGATAAAGGCACAATAATTCAATTTGCTTTTTCCTATTCTGCGTCTAATCTAATTGAACCAATAAGGCCCCCCAAATTGGATTAATCTGTAGGCATGCCTGATTCACTAACATAATGGATAGGATTCTTCAGTATGTATTCATTAACCTCAGAGGAAAAGTTAATGCCTGATATTCCTTCAAGGAGAAAGAAAAAAGTTGTCAATTAAAATACCAACATATTTTGGGGATATATTGGTAAAGATGATACAGAGAGGAAAAGATAACTGAATCTAAAAGGCTTTCCCAAATGTAGAAAAGTAAAGATAATATCATCTACATACTCAAGTTCTCAATAATTTTTTATTGTTAAACATACTGGCCTCCAAGAGGCTACATTATATAAATTGTAGTTCTATGATGAAATGCTTCAACCCCAAAAAATCAATCTTTGCAAGAGGATAGATATGCAGGAATCTTTAGGTAAAGCACTATGTTTCTACATCTCTGGAACTGGAAAATTATTTACATTTTTGGAACTGGACCGTTAACTGGGTATTCATCCTAACATAACACTGAACACCTAAACGGGTCAGGAAGATAAAGACTGCTGATGATAAAACCCACAGCTGTAATATGAAGGCTAGATAA